GTTTCTGTCATTTCTCTAATTTTCAATTTTTAATATTTGCATAACTTGTCAATTATTTACATGTTAATTTCCTTTTTTGTAGATATTTAAATTGGTTAAATTGAATATGTTTTATTAATGTGTATTAATGTTTATAACAATAGTTAGAATTTTGAATCTTAATTTTGCATAATGAGCATATGATTTACATCGTCTATCCATTTCATCCTCCTTGGTTTGTAATGTTTCAAATCATGTCAATTTCCAGGCTACATTCCTCAGTCTAGAGGAAGTAACAGTGCAGAGGAACGACAGCATGAAGGTGATATGGTACAGTGATGACGTAAAGAATGGCATGCTTTTCTCCAAACTCAAGACTTTGAAACTTAAAGCTCTTCCAAGACTGGAAAGCATCTGCTCAGGGAGTTGCAACTTTGAATTCCCTTCTTTGAAAGATGTAATTGTGATGGAGTGTCCAAGTATGCAGACTTTCTCTAAGGGAGAAGTAAGTACACCAAAACTGCAGAAAGTGAAACTGACAGAAGATGAAGATGAAGGATGTTGGGAAGATGGCGTTAAGCCCAGAATAGTTTTTGATGAGAAAGGTATCTATTGATTCAAAAGATTTCTTTATTTTTTATTTATTTTACGCTTTCTTTCCTTCTTCTTAATTATCTCATTCCCATTAAAGACATGATGAAATTAAATATGGGGAAAGGTTGTGGTAAATTTGACAGATTATTTGTAGTTATATAACTTATATTGCTTTAGCTAGCCTTCAAAATGTGCTCATCATGACTGCAGAGTGGTGATGACTCTGAAGAAGACTGGTCTAATGCTTTACACAAGCTGTGTGATTAGGTTAATGCTTGAGATGGTGAGTAGGTTCTCTGACGCTATCAACATTACTTCTCTGATATATTAGCTTTCCCTTCAAACAGAAACTACCCTTTTACAATCTGTTATATATATGTTGATGATACTTTGTTCCTTGTAGGTTTATATGGTGCACTCATAAGCTGGATTTCAACCGTGCCAAGCCGAATTTTTTTCTTCTGACTTTAAAATGTTATTTAAACTCCTAAAACTAGTCTTCTTAATTCGAAACTCCATTTGTATGACTATCTTCTTCTTTTTTAATTTCTGCAAGCAACTTAGACTTTTTATTTTTCTGGTTTGGTTTTATATGGTGAAGGAGAATATTTAAACTTGATTATACCTTCATTAAGGTAACTTGAAGCTGCGATTAGATTATGAATGGAAATATACATATCTTATGTATATAATTAATATTTTTTCAACCTTGGCAAATTCTCTATTAATGGTTAAAATTT